CGATGGTTACCACCTAATGGAAAACCCAGATACATGAACGGAAGTGATTCCACCTTGCATCCGAGAGTATTTGCCCAAAAATTGACTTCAGAAGCGTTACAATTAACACCAATCACGGCTGTCTTGGCTATATTTAGAGAGAGGCCTGACATCTGAAGAAAAATTTGTACAACACCCCACCAATTCTCCACATTCTTGTGAGAAAAAGGACTAAAAATCAACACGTCGTCTGCATACTGGATATGGGTCACTTCAAGACCATTGGAGCCTAAGGAAAACCCGCTAAGAATTCTCCTTTGGTTGCAAAAGTGAATAAGCCTACTCAAGGCATCTCCCACTATAGTAAAAAGGAAAGGAGAGAGGGGATCCCCTTGTCTAATCCCTCGTTTCGCCAAAATCTTACCTCGTGGCCTACCGTTAATGATCACTGAGAAATTTGTAGAAGAGAGGCAGCCTTGAATCCAGCAACGCCATTTAAGACCGAACCCTTTCRCTTGAAGAGCAGCATCAAGGAAGGTCCAATCTACTTTGTCATATGCTTTCTCAAAGTCTAATTTGATGAGGAAGCCCTTTTTCTTATCCTTCTTCCAATCTCCAATCGACTCTTTGGCTACTAGGATGGCGTCGAGGATGTCTTCCTTCCACAAAAGCCGCCTGTGCATCATGAATAATGAGGGGGAGGACTTTTTTAAGCCTACTCGCTAGAACTTTTCCCAAAATTTTGTAGAGAGAAGTAACCAAGCTGATAGGTCTATAATCCTTCACCGATGCTGGATGAGCCTTTTTAGGAATAAGGCAAATATAAGTTTCGTTTGTCCTTCTGTTGACAATTCCTTTCTCAAAAAAGTCATGGAACACCTTCAAAATATCAGGCTTGAAAATGTTCTATGCCTTTTTCATGAATTCGTTGCTCATCTCGTCCGAACCCGGGGATTTGAGTGTTCCCAGGTCTGCCACAGCCCTCTTCATTTCTTCTTCTGCAAAGGGATCTTCGAGCTGGAGTCTTTGAGCTTCTTGTAAGGGGGACCAGTTCAGATTTTCAATCATGTGGCACCTGTCTCCTGTCGCGGAGTATAACCCCTCGTAATACTTGAGAATTTCATCCACTATCTCCTCCTCTGAAGTTAACTTCGAGCCTTGAGCAGAAATTAGTTCACCAATAAAAGCCCTATTCTTGTTGTGTGAGGTCCATCTATGGAAAAAATGGGAGTTTTCATCCCCTTCCTCCAACCATCTGATTTTCCCTTTCTGCATCCACATGCRCTGCTCATTAATAATAATTTCCGTTAACTTAACTTTTAGATGATCTCTTCTACTGATCTCTTCGGCTGAAAGGCCTTGAGTTTCTACTTTCTTATCTATATCATTGATAGATCTCGCCACTTCCGCCTTATGTATTCCAACATGACCAAATTCTTCCTTGTTCCAGCGGATGAGGGCTCCCTTTAGGCCTTTTAATTTTTCCATAAAGCCATAACCAGGCCAACCTGTCATAGGGTGATCGTTCTTGTTTCGAGGAAATGTTAATCCTCCTAGGATCGCATAACTTAAAAGATGTGAAGGATGGAAAAAYAAAGAATCCATATACAAGTAAAAATGGATGTGGGCTTGTGTTTCCTTGGTAAATTTTTCCATTTTGATTAACGGTAGACCAAGCAGGAAGATTTTGCCTAAGAGAGGCCATACGCAATGGGATCCCCTCTCCCCAATCCCTCTTTACTATTGTCAGTGACTCTCTTAGTAGATCAATTCACTATTGTAACGAGAGAAGAGTTATAAGTGGTTTTAGAGTGGGTTCGAATGAGATTGAAGTAACCCACGTATGCTGATGATACTATAATTTTTTGTCAAAACACATAGGAAAACCTTCAGAATTGGACCTTCCTTTCCATTTTCCTTGTGGGTTCGGGGCTGTCTCTAAATATGGCAGAGACTTCTTTGATTTGCTTAAAAGTTAAGAAGGTTAAGAGGTTTACGACAGGCGTTGTTTCTTTGCTTGTAGGAGATCATCAACACCTTGCTTCTCAAATAGTAAGCAAATGGTTATGGAGATTTTCTCAAGAGAAATATTCGTTGGGGAGGATGATTTCTAGCATATGTGGCCACGATCCAAATGGATGTTGTACTCTCCCTTCAAAAGGTAAAGCTGAAGGTAGATCGTAATTTGATATCGCCAAGAACTCTTCACTAGTCCAAAGCTTCATCACTTATAAAGTCAAGAATGGGCACAAAGTAAGATTTTGGAAGGACCAACGGATAGGCCCTTTGGCATTAGAGACATTGTTCCCCTACATTTACAATATTTCTAAGAAGCAAAATGCTACAGTAGCTGATTGTGGAACGAAGACCAGCAAGATTGGGACCTCGGCTTTCGAAGGGGTTTTTTTAATTGGAAAATGAGTAGTTGGATGGGCTTGAAGCTTGATAAACAGAATAGATGCACTTCAGCTTGGTAAAGGTCTGGATAAAATGGTGTCATCTCTAGACTCTTCAGGGGTTTTCCTTCTAAATCAGCGTTAATATTTATTAAGTTGACAGAGAATTCAAAARTTTGGCTGCTCCTTTGATTAAATATGTGGGGAATTTTGATGTCCCTAGGTGAAAGTCAAAAGGGCTCCCACCGGATGAGGTGAAGGCTAGATTTGTCAATATTTCCTCTCCAAAGGAAGTTTCTGTAGGGGCCATCTATAGCTTGAGCCACCTAGTTAGGCATGTCAAAAGAGACATGTAGTAAGTATGACGATTTGTAAGGGTAGCTTGGATGAAAGTGGGCCTACCCCTTCGGAATGTGTGAATTTTTCCAAGAGTGAAGCCCTCTTTCAATCTTCTCTATCATAGGGGCCCAAAATGAGAAGGATCTCGGATTGCCATTTAGAGGAAGCCCAAGGTAAGAGCTTGGCCAGGACCCCAATTTACAACCAAAATTATTAGCACAACCTATTTTTCTTCAAGATTGGTGCCAATGATTTCAGATTTCCAATGGTTTACACCTCTTCAAAGACCGACCTTTATAGTGTTGAAGGGATTCATTAAAGCCCAACCTCGGTGCAAGGAGAAGGGAGAAGTTGATTTCTTATTAAAAAATTTGATAGTGCGGCATTTGGACTTTGCATTCTCATTGAACATATTTCAAAAAAACGTTTCTCCTTCCAGAATTGAAGAGCTTGGAACCAGAGCATTTTGGCAAGCCCTTTTAGATCCATGTTTTGGTATTAGACAGTATGCATTTTTTTCTGTTATGAAAACATTTATTTGAGAAAAAAATCACTACCAGTGACTAAGATCACACTACTAGATACCATGAAGTAAATTGTCCACTAAACCGTTGACTTTTCCAATTTATCAATGAAAAATTTTATTCCCTTGTGAAGAAAATATTACACTAGGATTTATTACCTACGTGTTTCTTAATAACAGATCATCAAATTTATTCCCTTATTCGTCATGTTAAGAGAATGAAGAGTGGGAGCGGAGCTGCAGCAACCGAAAACACATAGCGATATGACGAGAGAGAGTAGAAACAAAACCTTTATATGAGACACCATCATCATTGTCCATGGGAATCATAGGCATCCCATAAGGAGGCACATTGGGCCGAGCTGCAACYTGTGCTGACTTCATTGAAGGGTCAGACACTCTTTCCTGAAACATAGAAGATAATCATTATCCAGCTTTATGAGCATGCCAAAAATTACGGTCAGACTTTCCATGGGAGAAATGGCCAACTTAAAATATTCATTCACTTTTTTTTCTTAACAAGAAACGAAAATTTTCATTGAAGAAATGAAAAGATACAAGTGTTCAAAGATACAAGCCCCATAAAGTAAGAAATTAACAAGGAAAGGGAGTAATAAAGATCTCCCAATACATACAAATATTCTATAAAGAATAATCTGAAAAAAGCTTGGAAAGAGCACACATTGGGAAGCTTTTAGCCTAGACACTTCAAAACAAAGCATGGAAAAATCAAAAACTCTTTAATTTCGTTCCAACCAGAGCTCTGAATTAATGCCTTCAACCGCATTAACCCTTAAAAGGTTTGGCCTTGGAGCTAAGGAAGGACCAGAAATTAGTTGAAGAGCATTGTTTTAAGAATCTTGAGGAAAAACCCATTCCAAATTGAAGATCCTGAAAAGATAATTCCAGCAAGACAAAGCATAGGGACAGCCGAAGAAAACATTATGTTGTTCAGAAGCCAGAAAACATAAATAACAAACTGACGGCAAAATTTAAGAGCGCGTCTTCTTCTCTAGAAGATTCAAGGTTATTAAGCTTACTATTAAGTAATACCCAAAGAATAATTCGTTTAGGACTTTTTGATTTCCAAATGGCTGAAAAAATCTCTTTCGGTAATGGAGGGGAATAAACAAGCTGTCTTGAAAGTGATTCAATCCAAAAAAATAGCTGAAGGTTCAAGTCTACATCTCCTCAAATCTTCTTGGGAGATTCCAATTTTATTGTTTCAAGCTCAAATAAAAGAGAACTTAACTCATTAATTTCATTATCCTTTAAATGTGTTCTACAAGTTATCTTCCAAGAGAGGCATGAAGAATCCCAAAAAGCCGACACCAAACCGTTGGGTAACATGGATATTTTAGAAAGAAGAGGATATCAAAGATTAAGAGAATAATCTCCTAATAATGTCTTGCCAAAACAGAATTCTTTAGAAGGCACATTTCTCCACACTCTTAAAAACTTTAGAAATATTGTGCCAAGGGCTTTGAAGGCTAGAATTTTTCATTGCAGAAGAATGCCATTCAAAAGGATCAAAACCATGGATGCTGGAAATCACTTGCCTCCAAAAATAATTGGATTCAAACATAAGTCTCCCACCCATTTAGCCAAGAGGCCTGTGTTAAACTGCCAATTCCTAAACCACCATCTGATTAGACATAGAAGATAAATTTCATCGAGGTGGCCAATCTTTTAGTGGAAAATTTTGGAGGGTAATACTGAAAGGTAGAATTTTTATTCTGTGGATTTGTGCAGTCCATGCTCCCTTCTAGTTGATTTGGAAGGAAAGAAATAGGAGACTTCTTTAAGATAAGAAGTCCTTGTTGGATTCGCTTCTCAACAGCTTACAACATATTAATTTGTGGTGCTGCTTAAACCACAAGAAGGTCTTGTGTAACTACAACCTTACTACATTATTACTGATTTGGAGGCAGGCTGCCTTTAGGCTGCTTCGCCTTTTTGTGATTAATACACTTCTGTTTCTTATATTTATAAAAAAAAAATGGAGATAATAGCAAGTGTCAATTCCTTCCCAAAAGAAATTACACATTTTCCTCTCCATTTCCAAGCAAACTTTAGAAGGCAATAAAAGAATTGACATGTCATAGTATGTATATCGATGACAATGCTTTGTGCATGGTGTGGTCCAAAAGATGGTTTGATGAGGGCATCCTGAAAAACAATGGCCAAGGAACAATTCACGTGTGATCTTGTGTTTCCTTATTCAATGTGCATAGAAGGCACATATTTGGTAAAAAGAGTAAACAAAGATAGCTTCGTTTTTTTTTTTTTTTTGCTTGA